CTCATGGCTACTACAGGTTTCCTAGCTCTTCTACTGGGCTCTCTACAGTGTTCCTGCTCTACTTCTACAGCTTGACTGCTGCACTCGGAATGCGGCGAATTTCCTACTCCTACTCTCTCTTCACAAACGGTTCCTACTTCACATGCACACATGTTTCCTGAATGAAGACTGTTCCTACAACAAGACATGACTGTTCCTAACGCAAAGTCACTCGTGTCAGAAATGCACATGACGTCCTGCTCACATGCTCTCATGACTGACATGTCTGTTCCTGAAACTTTTCCTGAACCCTCAAAAACAAAACCTTCTGAAATTCCTGCAATGGTTGAAAACATCAAAGCTGCAAACGCGAATGTTCCTTTGCTCTTAATCAACCTCACAGTAGCCTTAGCTTGTTCCTGGGTTCGGTGGTCTTTGAGCTCTTGTTTTCCTACGGGTTCGTTGTCTTCAGTTTGGAATCCTAGCCAATGCAAAAGAAGTTTGATACGCTTTCTTGACAAGGGCTTAGTTCCTATATCGGCGGTGTTATCCTTGGTCCCTACTGGGTGCACGCTAACGGTTCCTTGTTTGTGGAGGTCTTGAAGAAACAAGGTCCGGATTTGCAAATGTTTGACTCTTCCTACTCCCTGCCGAGTGACGATACCTCGGGCCGCCGAAGAATCAAGATGCAAATGCACTACACAACGTTTTCCTGTCAAGAACTGAACTGCTTCCTTCAACAGAATTGAATCTGATGCTGCCGATGCTGCGGCGTAGTACTCTGCTTCACCAGAGCTGAGCGAGACTGTCTTCTGGCTTCGAGAGAAACTATAGATCACCTGTCCATCCAGAAAAACGTTTCCTGCGCTGGCTGATCTACGAGTATCTTTCTTTCCTGCCCAATCACTGTCGCTGAATACCTCTAGAAGATGATACTCTTTGGGCTCTACTCCAGTGAAATCATAGCTACCGTTCCTGATACTCTCATGAAGATTGCTGAGGCCTCTAGGGGTCTTCCTGTACACAAGATGATAGCCTTCTGTCTTAGACATGTACTGCACAAGATGAATCAAGTGTTTCCATGACCCATACGTAGGTTCCGACATCGTTGACGCTAGTCCACGAACTGCGAACTGCAAATCCGGTCTATCCTGGCCTACATACAGTAAGATTCCTACACACTTTCGGAATGATGCTGCTTGTTCCTGGTCAAGACTGTTGGTGTGATCGGCTTCCTGGCTTTCATGGGTGCAAGGAGTTGGCTTTGAAGCTGTGCTCTTGAGCTTGAGTTCTTCCTTGAGCTTGATGAGATACTTCGGGTCACTTTTGATGCGCAACTCATGATTAGTGGTACGTAAATTTCCTCTTGAGGAATCTAATGGTCTGAAGCGACTCTCCTACTGCAAGTTCTTGCTCAGTGAGAAAAGGGCCTTCGATCTTGAGTTCATAGATTTTGCCTAACATGTTCAGAACTGGCACAAGGCTCCTATTCTTTCCTGCTGCTTGAATGTCGTCTACGTGTACAACAAGAATACTCTTCATCTTGTCACGAAACAAAGTTGGACATGCAACACACCTGTCAAAATCCTGTTCCTGCAAAGTGCTTGCAAAGTGGTCACTCCACAACAATGCTGCATCTCTCTGTCCTGGAAGTACACGCAAGAGTAACAAACCTTCGTTCCTGCAGTTGGGATCTTCTTCTCCGAAAAGCTCTACATATTCCTTTGGGAATTCACACGCTGTCCTGTTCCTTTGGGGTACCTGAAGGAATGCGTCCTTCACATCTACAGAATACAATGCGTATTCCTGCTGCAATCCTAGTACCGGGATCAGTCTCACCAGCGAGGCGCTCGTCGCTGGACTGAACGTGTCTACCAATCGAGCTCTACGAATCCACCGGTTTCCTCTAAATCTCCAGTCAAACACAAACTTCGTGGTAAGCCACTTGGTTCCTACGTCTCTCTCTTCGTTTCCTTCACAGTTCTCTCCTCTCTCTTCTTCTCTCTCAAGTTCCTGCAAAGGGACTCGGTCTACTGCTTTCATGTCCTTGAGACGATCGATCTCGGTGACCATCGCTTCTCGATCCAAGACTCTGAGTTCCTCCTCTGAAAGTTCTGGAGGTCCTGCATCTTCACTTGTGAAAATGTCCTGCTCTTCATCTGAGTCACCAATCTCAGAATAGGTGTCTTCCCAGAAAATGTCGTCAGTTCCTGCTTCAGGAAGTTCCTCGTCATTGTGCTCAAAAACTCTTCCTACGTTGAAAGGTGGATACTTCTTAGTTGGGGAATCCAGCTTCGGGATCTTGGAACCTGTTCCTACATCTTCAAACTGTGCTTTCCTAAGCTGTGGAGGTCCTCGTGCTGTGAGAAGTTCACTCAACATTGCACTGCCTGGCAAAAGTTCCTCAGACTCACCATCAGAAACATCCATACCTGGCTCTTTTTCCTGGGGACTGCTTGAAGACGAAGGATCACTAGACAACACATCTGACGCTGCTTCAGGTCCAGCTTCTTCAAGATCTTGTTCGGCTTTCCTCTTTTGGGCTGCTTGGTGCTGTTTGGCTTTACCTGCTAAATATGTCGTCCTTGGGATCACTGGTCCTGGCTTCTCACCAGAATCCCCGCCTTGGATGACAACTGCCTCAGATGGACACTGAGGTCCTGAAGGTTTGTCCTGCACTGCTTGGTCCTGTTCAACGGGCTCACCCATGATCTGTGCCATTACTGGTTTTGGTCCTGGAAGGCTTTTCTTGGGAACTACTCTGGTTGCTAGAGCGGTGTGCTTCACTTCCCATGAATGGATTCCTACACTGCTGATTGCCTTGGCGTCGACATGTTCAGGGCAACGCTTTGCACTTCTGCTAGTTTTGATACCATCCATGTGCCAAGTGATGTACAAGTTACAAGTCGTTGTCAGACTTTCCTAAGAACACTCCTCTCAACCACAAAGGATCACCTTTCCTGCTACTCTTCACGCCTGTCCTGTTAGCCAACACCATCAAACTCTCTCCAAACTCTGCCAAAGTTCCTTGAAACGGGCGACCTGAAATCCACTCGTAAGGGGTCATCCCTGCCTGAGTGCCAATGATACCTATTGATTACCCAGCTGGCATGTCGAAATGCCCAACTGAAGATCGGATGCGTGTGTGCAACAAGAATTCCTGCATGCTCTTCCATGCCTTTGATCAAAGTCAGAGCTTGCCTACGGACGGTTTGGATAGCTCGTTCAGCCATGCCGTTGGTTTCCTTTTGTCCTGACACTGCATCTTGCAAGACTGTTCCTAGTCCTAACGATGATCGCTGCTTCTGAATGACCTGCTTGAGCTTCTTCATGGTTCCTTCGTTGTCGGCTTTCAGGTTGATGGCTCCATACTGCAGTTGAGTGCTCATGTACGTAACTCCTTCAGCTAGATGATCAATCAGGCCTTTGCCTTTAGATGCTGTGGGAATACAGACAACATTCCTACTCCAAGAGTCAATGCACACAAGACATACTGCAGACACTGGTTCATCGTAGCTAGTACCTGTGAAGCAAAAATCCATACAGAACGTGGGTCTCGATGATCTTTCCTTTTCAGGATTCTCTCTAGGATGAGGCGACTCCTTTCCTTTACACGCAACACAAACCGGACACCATGATGCATATGGCAGATGCGTCAAGTTGTGAACTGCTACCTCTTCAGGTGGCGGCATCTTTTGGTCCTTGAGTGGTTCGGCAATAGCGTATTCCTGATACCTTTTCTGGGACGTGCTAAGTTCGTGGGTCCTCTCAGCTTCCATGACAGTCCTACTGAGTCTTCTAAGAATGTCCTGCTTTGAACCAAACTTAGATACACCAAATTCGGTGCAAAGTCCTTTCAGGGTCTTCAGGCTGCTTTGCTGGTTGTACTCATACCCATTGTGGTTGTGCTAAACTTCAAGTCGCTCTTTTTCCTTGAACCGGTAAAAGCGCTGTCGGTAAAACATGAGTCACAAATCCACACATGCTCATCAACCCTTTGGGTTGGTAGGTGGGGTTCCCAGGTAGTAGAAAAACTTTACACCCCGCCTTGATGTTGTGCGAACTGTAAGCTCAACATCACTCTACAGTAACGGGTTTGTAGAAACTGTACAGGTATGTCGTTGGGCTCATCTGGTATTGTGCGATGGCCTCGTTGTGCTCTCCCTATTGGAGTCCTTGCACTCGGTGAAAACTGTTCCCACTGCTTCCTCGTGGGTAACACTTCGCTCAGGTAAGCTTGTACTCGTTGTAGCTCACACTGTACGGAAAAGTGAAACATTCCATCATTCACTCACATGGTCCCGGGCCTGCAATTGCCACAAGGACGGTAGTGCAATCTCGCATGCACTGCTGCACTGTAAGTGAATCTCTCTGACCTTTGCACATCTGCACATGTAGGTCGGTGGTACCTCTTGCCATGAGGCGTGTACACATACTGGGGTTGTGCTCGTAGCTGTTCGTCCACATCCTGTGCCATAGGAATGATATTAACCATTCCCCATTCTTGAAATCGCCTTGCAAGCTCTTCGTCATTCACATGGATTTGGCTTGCTGGTACTGTACTGATTCCAGGCATCCCATTACCACTGCCTGTCGCTGAATCCTCTGGTGCATCACGGAAATACATATTGACTGCCCTTGCTGTACGTTGAACATCATCCTCATCGGGCGGACAATACTTTTGCACAAATCTTCGAATAGTGAATTCCTCCTGCGGTTCCTGTGGTCCTTCTTCCTCCGGTTCCTGTGGTCCTTCTTCCTGCGGTTCCTGTGGTCCTTCTTCCTGTGGTTCCTGTGGTCCTTCTTTGCGGTTCCTGTGGTCCTTCTTCCTGTGGTTCCTGTCGTCCTTCTTCCTGTGGTTCCTGTCGTCCTTCGTTCACCTTCTGCTCGACCATGTAGAACAAGAGTAAAGCGAAAATTCCTCCTAGTAGCACACTGAAAAGAATAATCCATCCACTCACTTCCTTCACATAGATGAAAACAAATTCTCGTCGCTCTAGCCGTCTTGCTTCCACGCTCACTCAACAAAGTTGCACGTAGTGCTCGAACTTGGCTTCGGCAAACTTCACCTGCCACATGTTCCATTGCTTCTTCTTTCCCATAACGCTCATGACTTTCTCCATTCCACACCATGGCTCCAATATGGTACATGAGAAATCTCCTTCGAGATACTCCTAAGCGCTTTGTATTCAAGTCGGCAATGTTTAATTTGGTAGGCACTGGCTTTGCTTTGAAGCTGTTGTTCTTCACCCCTCGCTGAAGCCATAATACTCTCAGATCGATATGTTTGAGTCCTCCGACTCCTGTTCGCATCATCCATTGTCTTCCCGCACTTGAATCCATCCGGATCTCCACGAGTAACTTTCCTGCAAGAAACATCCACAACTTCTTCAGTAACATCGCTTCTGATGCTCCTCCTGAGCATGCTAGCACTTCGGACTCTGCCGAACTTAAAGCTGTAGCTTTCTGGGTCCTGCTATACGAAAGTACTGGCACTGCATTCACACACACAATCACTGATGATGTAGACCATCTCGCTTCACGGTCTGATGCCCAATCTGCATCCGTGAATACTTCCATACTGTGTGTTCCCTTCTTTTCTTCGTCTTCTTCTTCTTGCTCTTCTCTTTGATAGATCGCATCCATCATCTTGTTTCCAACCTTTGTGTACTTCAGTAGGAATCCCAGTTGCTCTGTTCCTTGCACATAGAGCAAAGCTTGTTTCAAACAGGTTAACGCTTGTTCCGTTGGCTTCGACATCTTACTTGCCAAACACTTCGTCACATGCTGCAAATCCCATCGGTCTTGGGAAATGTACAACAGTGTTCCCAACGCTGAACGAAACTTCTTGCACTCGTTCTCCTCCAGTTCTTTGGAATTGTCCACTGTTCCAATCAGCTGGTGCTCTGGGGTTTGTCTTGGCTTTCGGTTCCCCAGCTTGTAGAGTCCTCTAAGCTTCTCGTAGTGCTTCTTCGACACTGTCACCAAAATTCCTTCTTCAAGGAACTCATAGGTCCTCTTCAGGTAATGAAGCTGTTCTCCCGATCCCCGGCGGGATGGGAACGGTCCCTCAACTGTGAGCTTGAAAAACTTCTCTAGCTCGCATATCAGCCATTTTCCTTCGCCTTTTGCACCTGCAACTAGCTCGTCGTCGACATGAATCGACACTGCAATCTTCTTCACTCGGTGCTTCAAGATTGGGGGTATCCCAACAAATTGCTCAAATCCCAAACGCTTCAAAATCTCAACCAAATGGGTAAACCATTGTTCTGCCGCTGATCTTTGCCCTGGCAGACACTTCTCCACTTTCCATACGTGGTCTTCATCCAAACCAAGTAGTGTTCGAATCCACGGTGAGATATCAGCATACATCAGAGCTTTCTGCGTGACTTGCAAGAATGCGTCACGAATGTCAAGAACTGTAAGCTCCCAATTGTAGATGAGATGAAAAAGAAACATCATTCGCACTGCTGCGTGTCCTGACGTAGGACTAAAAGTCTCCTCCGTGCTCTGGGCTCCCGCACGGAATTCCCGACACACAATTCTGCATCTACGCTTCCAAACTCCATCTCTCTTTCTCCAATCGAAAACTGTCCTTAGTGTCAGAAACTTACCTTCCTCTGAACACTCTTCCTTCTTGATCGTCTTCACAACCTTCATGTTGGCGAGTTTGTCAAGTTCAGCTTTTCCTGCCTCTGCATCCAATCTTTCAAGTTCCTCTTCGCTGACTTTCGGTGGTCGATCCTCATCTTCTTCTTCTCCTTCACTATCCGCTTCATATTCCTCTTCGCATTCCTTCCAGACTCTTTCTTCCCAAAGGTCATCTTCATGATATCCTGTTTCGTCTTCCTGTTCTTCTACCTGTCCGGCGTACAACGGTGGAAATAGACTTCCTTTCGGACTTCCAGGATCAGCACTTGTAGGTGAACTTTCCGCAGTCTTTTGTTGCTTCGTTGGTGGCTCCTCAGCATCTGCTGTTTTACTAGCTTTCGCAGGTTCCTCTCTTTCTTCTCCTTCAGTTTCTCTCTTTTGTCCCCCGCCTTGGTTGGAATCCGTTGATGAACTTCGAGGTGTAGGTTGACCACTGCTCAGCAATAGATCACTGATTGTGTCATGCTTTGAACTTTCCACATCAGATCCTGCTTCATCTCCTGCTGGCTCTGGCTCATTTTCTCCTCCTTCTTTCTCTTTGCCTGGTTCTTCCACGATTCTCGGTAACGGTGCCGCATGCGCGGTGTGCCCTAGCCTTGGGGCTTTCTTCGTCCAAGGAGAACCCTGAAGTTGAAGGGTCTCACGTGCGCGCCACGCTGGTTGTGTGCGCCGCACAGATCTTGACGTAAAGATCCCATCTTTTGACGTAATCACGTCCATGTCCCGGTCGTCCTTTCCAACCCATATTCCTCCTGTCCACAAGGATCGATTCTTCACTCCTCCAGGCTTGGCCAGACCAAACACATACTCTCCGAAGGGTAAAATCTGCCCTTGGTATGGTCTCCCGTAGACCAATTGGAAAGCTGTACTCTGCGTCCCTGAGTGTAGGTGGTACCTGTTGAACAACCATGCTGCGTGGTGAATTGCCCACGCTCGTAAAGCATGATCTTCAGGAATCTTTTCCCCAATCCGATCCTCGACCATTTCAATCATCGTGAGGCTTTGTCTCCTGAGGTTCTGAATGTGGCGTTCCACTCTCGCTGTTCTTCCTTTGTGGTAGGGCTTGTTTGGATACTTTCCAGCCTTGTAGCCTAACTTTTGTCGTATTGCTACAATCAAATCCAGTAAGGCTGTTGTCGCTGGCTCCACATCAATCGCAAACAGAACTTCTTCGGAAATGTAGTTCATCTCGAAAGAAAACTTCACCACTTTCTCGGCCAACTTCTTCGTCGGTGCTTTCCCCGGCACTGGAATCGCCCACGAAAATCGAGTCCATGAATCAAGAATGATCAGACTCACACTGTTCTGACCCATGTACATGAAGTCCATCTGGATCACTGGCTTTCCTGGGTCTTCATACTTTGCTTCACTGCTTTGTGGGGTATGGTCCTGTTTCGACTTTGCTGCTGCACAGAAATCACACCATGGTTGCATTGGCATGTGGGTTGCCATATGCTCTTCAATCTCTGCTTCTGTCGGTTCGGGCACTCCGGGTCTTGTTCTTGCTTTGGGCCTTTGCTTCCTCAGCCTGTCTGCAACTTCTTCTGCGTCCTCATCTCTGTCTTCGGTGAGGTAGTTGCACAGTCTCCTGAACATCTTCACCTTTGACCCTGAGACGCTCAAACCCAAATACCGACAACCTTCTCGCAGCTTCTCAATCTCACTCGTTGCTGTGAGTGACTCTCCATTCACCACAATAGTACTTCCCATGTCGAGTTCCAACTCTTGGTGTCCTCCTGCCTTTCCTTGCTGCTTCACAACTCCTTTCGGCACTGGCACCTGCAACTCTTCTGGAGCTCCTCTTTCTCTTCCAAACCATTCTGGCTCCTCTTCCATCTTCTTTTCTTCCTCCTTTGGTGCTTCTTCTGGCGCTACCTCTTCTACCAAGCACTTGTCCAGATACTCTGGTGTCCTGTGCAAGAATGTGAGAATTTCTGATCGAAAAAGCAATCCCGGTATTCGATCTTCCAAGTCGGATTTTCGCTCGAGCAATTCCGTTGCTTCAATCACTTCCCATTCGTTGCCCACCTTCACGATGGTGGTCCTGTACTTCCAAGTACCTGTCGGTGGCTTTACAAACTCAAGTCCAAAATGGCGATGGACTGGCGTTCCATTCGGTAGAAGGCTCCAATCCTTCTCTGGGACTTTACCAAAGTCATAGGCCAAAGTCACCTTGACTGCCCTGACTTGCTCGACTCCTCTAACTTCCGCTGTCAATCTCAAGCTATTCCTCTGATATTCCACAGGCACCCGTGCCTTACCATCGGGAGATACAAGTTCCCCCGCCTGGGTTTCTTCTCCCCAGGTCTCGCCCCCTTGGCGCTGTTTGCATCCCACTGACACAAACTTCCATCCATTTTTGAGTAGCCTTCCTAAAGACAGCAAGATGTTATTGGTGTCCGACAACACAAAGTCCTCAGTCACACTGCAGCTACTGAACTGCAAAACTGCTCGCCGCATACCTTCAACTCGCATCGCACCCCCTTGTGCGTCCTGCAACCTCAGAGAGGTTGGGGTCGAAACTTCGACGCCTGCATCCGACAATCTTCGTGGTAACAAACTCACATCTGCTCCTGAATCCAAGATCACCACATGTTGCTTTGTGTCCAACTGGACCATTCGCACATTGAGAGGTTCCGATCCTCCCTGACTCAGAGGTTCCAATCCTCCTGGAGGTCCCAATCCTCCTTGAACTCTTTCCAAGCTGTTTTCATACCATTGATACAGCTCATCACTCTCATGATCTTGTTTGTTCTCACTCTCATCCCCGATGTAGTAGCACTCTGGTCCTTGCACCTCTATCCTTCTGGTGAACCAATCACCTTCTTCTTCTGAAACTTCGCTAAGCTCATAGTGCTCTGTGCCGTCAGGTGGTGTGTTCGCAATGTGATGGAAATCAATGTTCCTCACTCTCCTTATCCTGTATTGGCTCGCACTCTGCGACGGAGTAACAGACTCGACTGTCGAGTGGGGTACCTCGGTGCTGGCCTCGCTCGCCTGCACTTCTCGAACATTGCGGTTTGGACACTCGTTTCCCCAATGTCCTCGCTGCTTGCAGAATCGGCAAACATCTCTGTCCAACTTCTTTCCTCCACCTTTCTTTCCTCCTTTGCCATGCTTTCCACCTTTCTTTCCGCCTTTCTTTCCTCCTTTGTGGAAACCTTTGCCTCGTCCTTTCTTTCCTCCTTTGTAGCTTCCTTTTCGTCCACCTTTTCTCCATTGGCGAAATCCTGCTCCAAAGCTTGACCACGAGTAGGATCCTTTTCCTCCTTTGTTTCCTTTGTTGCCTTTGTTTCCTTTTCCTCCTCCTTTCTCGTACACTGCATCCACTTCCATTGGTGCTGGTCCTTGATCTGCATTCGAACTGCTCGCTGTGTTCTGCAAGGTCTTTTGCTTCAACACCGTCTGGTAATCCCAAGTTTTGCTGCTTTGCTCGTATGAAAGAATCGCTTGCTTCACTGACATGTAGTTTGTTCCTTCGGGCATTGTCAAAGTAAGGTGGTCTCGAATCGCCCTCGGTGAACATCGAAGCAAAACTCCCATCAACAAATCTCGATCGTAGGTCTTTCCTGAAGCGATCTCGTACTCCCGAACAAGGTTTTCCAGTGAACCAATCTGCTCCACCATGCTCTTGGCCCCATCGAAGTTGGGAAACATCCCAATCGCTTGACTGAGGGTTAGAGCTCGTTGTTTGGTGGCTGGTTGGTATTCCCAAAGCAAACTTTGATAGAGACGATACCCACATCGCTCCCTACTCCAATTTCGAGACAGTTGCGTTGCTGCCCCTCGCATATACGAAGTCAGTATGTGGTAAAGCTTTGTCGAAAGTTCTCTCTCCACTGTAGTGAGAGTCGAAACATCGATCGGCGTTGCTCCCAGACTTTCAATCATACTTAGAGCTTCTGAGTACTGCGAATCGGCAAAACCTAGCCAATTCAGAAACTGATGTTTCCAGGTTGTAAAATCCGGTGGATGTTCTCCCGAGGCTTGTGGGTTCCAAACATCTGGTGCCTTGATCGCCTTTGTCGCACTTTCAATCCTTCGGTTCAGATCATCCGAACTGCTTGCTTGTTGCTCCAACCTTTGTAGCGCACTCATTCCAACTTGGGTCGCCCTTGTCAATGCAGTCAGAATTTCAGAAAGTTCTGTGGGTTGTTGGGGTGGTCCATTCTGCTGCATCCCTTGCACTGCAGAAAACTGTAACACGACAAGCACACACAGCATCGCTCCTCTCTGTTGTTTTCTCACACAAGCACACGAACGCAAGTGATCTCTCCGTGCCCCTCTGCTCAAGCGCCTCCGAAAACATGAATGTTGCAATCTCCACAAACATGACTGACGACATGACTGCAAATGCACTGTCGCTTGCAAACATCCAATGCACAACATGATCGCACCTGATACTCCAAGCATAAGCATCATTGCCATTGCTCCATTGTAATCGAATTGCATAGTCTTGGGGTCGTAGAGGTTCTTTGCTCCTGGAATGCTGGTCCAAATCCACATCACCAATGGATCATTTGTTCCATTCATAGTCTCGTCGAAGTAGAGGCTCTTGTTTGTACATAGGCCATAGAATTTTGATTCCTCCTGGTAGTCGATCTCTGCTTTCTCCTCCTGGTAGTCGATCTCTGCTTTCTCCTTCTGGTAGTCGACCTCATCGTCCTGACCAATCTCCCCAGTCATCTTCCTCACTTCTAGGGTTTGGCTCCTCGCCCCTTTCTCGCATTCTTCTCCTTTCTGCTCTCCTCCAAGGAGAATTCGGGTAGAGCGTAGTGGCTTGCGTTGCTCCCACTCGCTTCGGTGGTGGTCCCTTTGGCTCTGGAGGTGGCGCCTTGCTTCCAGCAGGTCGTTCCTTCGGAGGTGGTCCTCTGGAACTGCTCCCTGGTTCAGCTCTCGCATCTTCCATCCTGGGTTGTAGGGTCCCAGGCCCCGTCCTGGGTTGTAGGGTCCCAGGCCCCGTGTCTCGGCTGGAACTCGCTGTTCCACTGCTTTGGCTTCGCTGGCCGTACCTGGCCCGAAAGTATGCAACTCCACGAGCAAATTCCTTGGATTCCCTGGCTCTTGCTTCGTCTCCTGAAGGAATTGCACCGGCACGTCTTGCAGCATACTCTTCCTCATTCCGGCGGATGTGTTCCGCCACTGCTGCGTTGCTGGGTTCCCCGTCCAGCGTGTGAAGAGGAAGTTTCGTACCACACGGCATTGGGTCCGGAGGTGGACACTCTGGAGCTCGTTCTTGTCCTGGCGGTGGACACTCTGGAGCTTGCTCTGGTTCTGGGCCCGCTGGTGGTGGCGGTGGCCCTCCTGACTTTGGAAACCGAACTGGCTCCTGCAAGGCTCGCTCCCTTGCTCGCCATTGAATCCTTTCAGTCTCTGCTGCGAGTGCAGAGAGTCTCTCCAGCTGCCTTCGCCTGCGTTTCTCAGCAGACACTTGCTGCTCTTGCAGCTCCAAGGCGATGTGCCCAGACGAAAGTGTTCTCGGCTCCCTTCTTGGTGTAGGTGGTGCCTCTTGGTACACCATTGTAGTTTCGGGGCTAGAGGAACTAGGACTCCCGATCTCCACTGGCCCGTCTGGTTCTCCTCCTTCCAAGGGAATGTAATCTCTTCCTTCCACCACTGGTCGTTCGGGCTTCTTCTTCGGCTTTGGAGGCATATAGCTTGGTGCACTTCCACTTCCTTCAGCTGCACTGCTTGCTGAAGATCCGTAGCCTTTTCCCATGCCAACACGGTGAATTTTGATCTCCTTTCTTCGTGGCTCCATTTCTTCTTCTTGTTCCACTTCTTCCATGGGCTCTGCGGGTTCCATCGGCTCCATGGGTTCTGTGAGTTCCATTGGCTCCATGGGTTCTGTGAGTTCCATGGGCTCTGTAGGTTCTGTGGGCTCCATTGGCTCCACAGCATCAGGGTTCCAACCCAAACCATCATCACGGCCACGAGGCATGGCTTCGGTCCCGGATGCACAGTGTGCTCCGCTACCATGCTAAACTTCAAGTCGCTCTTTTTCCTTGAACCGGTAAAAGCGCTGTCGGTAAAACATGAGTCACAAATCCACACATGCTCATCAACCCTTTGGGTTGGTAGGTGGGGTTCCCAGGTAGTAGAAAAACTTTACAGGTTGAAAACAAGTTCTCCTGCAAGTTCGTACCTGTGTTCGGGTGCTTCAGGTTCTGATTCCTGAAGAGCCTCATTTTCCTCTTCGACCTGTTCAGGGATTGTGTCGAGTTGCTTTTGTTCCTTCTTCTGCTTCTTGGCTTTGGGCTCTACTGGGTAGATCAACTTGAGTCTGCTTTGTCCTGTCCAGGACAACCCATTGAATGCCTCAGGGAACTGATCATGCTCATCTTCGGTCCAAGATTTGTCATCCTCAAAGAACTCACGCTTGATGGGTTCCTCTCCATAGGTTTTCCTATCAGGCTTCAGGTTTGAGATCTCTACCGGGATATGTTTGGAATCTAGAGGATTGAACAATGCTTTCCTGGGCGAATGGTGGTACCTAATCACCTCAGTGCCATCATCACTGATCGACCAAACATCCTTAGTGTACTCTTCGAACATGCACCTGTCTTGGGCTTCTTTAGGCGTTCCTAAGAGGTTCACCTCATCAGCGGCGCGACCTGCGCTTCGTACTGCCTGCGCCCGAGGGCTAGGCTGTCTGCCGCTTCGCGCTCCTAAGCTGCGCGAGACAAGCGCTTCAGCATCTGTTCTTTGCTGCCACTGCTTGGTACTTCAAATTCGCGACAAAGTTGACGCAAAATCTGCACGCTGCTATTCTTGCTGTACTCATAGCCATCGTCGGTGAACACAAGAGAATCTCGTTCAACTTCACCTCGAGGGGCTTCTTCCATCTGCACATCTTCTGGGAGGAAACTTTTCTTTTCTTCTTCAAGCTTCTGTCTCTTTGCCTCCTGCTCTTGTGCACTGCTTCTTCGGTCTTCACGAACAGGTTCTTTAAGGCGAAATCTGGTCTGACCATACCACGGCAAAGCAAATGCTTCTTCAGAAGGTTCTTTGCTCCAATCATCTTCGTCTTCATACAAATTCGTAGCATAGACACACTCGCCAATAGTGTATCTCCAGGACGTCAAATTCTCAATGTCCGTGGGCACTCCAGCTACGTTCTTAGGGTTGAACTTGTGGGCGTGTTGTGGTACCGCACAAGTTCCGTACCAGTCTTCTCAATGCTCCAAGCGCTGGTTCTTGCTTCTTGTTCTTGGCATTCATCTTTGTTCAAGAGGATGCCCAAGACATTCAGCGGGATAACTCGTGACGACAATGCTGTCACCACTTCAAAATCCCCGCCTGCGCTGATATCCTCAAACTGGTCCATCTTCTGCGCATACTTCTTGCACACTTCAACGGCTTTCCATGCACCATCTTCTGTTTTGTCATCGCTTAAGCCCCTCTTAAAGCCTTTAAAGTCCCTTCAAAGGATCCTCCAAAGCTCCCCCTCTTTGTCCCCCTTAAGCCTCCCCCTTAAGCCCCCCCTTAAGCCCCTTTCAGGTGATGGCCCATCAAGCTTGACACTTCCCAGCTGGATGAAAGGGTGCATCCTTACGTCGAACACAACTAGCACTTTTAACTGCACCCAGCAGAAAAACTAACCCACAGGACTGCTCTCATAAAATGATTCTTGGACTGCACGAACACAAAGGTTGCATTCTTCTTCGTGCTCACAACCATTTTTCCACCACAACATTGAAGGATCATCTTCTTCTTGGTGCTTGTGCCTCTTGTTCTTGCTCTGCATCGCAAAGCTGAAATTCTTCAACACTCAGCACACGACAAAATAGTCAATCTCGTGTTGACTTCGAAAACTTCTGGATACTGTTGTGCAGAATCTCCAATGTGGATCATGGAGATTTGACGTACGGTCTTTGCTTGGTTCCTGCTGACGCTCGTCACGTTCGTGGTGCTTAACGTGCTCGGTGCTGCAGTAGAACTTGCTGCTGTGGTACTTTGCTGGTCGTCGTTTCGAACATCACCAAAATCTCTCTGCTTCTGTCTGCATTGGGCCTCAAAGTGACCAGGCCTTCCACAGTAACGACAACACTGAGGACTTTTGCTTCCTTTTCCACGTCCTTTTCCAAATCCACGACCAAATTCTTTTCCACGACCAAAACGACCGCGACCTCGACCACGACCTTTTCCTCTTCCTCGTCCTTTGGGGTTGTAGCTGTAGTCGTTGCCCTATTGTCTTTTCCTTTGGACTTTCCTTTCCTCCATTTTGTATTTTCCTTTGCTCTTTTCTTTGCTCTTTTCTTTGCCTTTGCTGAACTTTCCTTTTCCTTTTCCAGGGCCTTTTCTATTATTTTTGTTCACAGGAGAAACTGACGAAGACTTAAATACTTTGTATCTTCTCTCAAGTTGAGCAACATGTGCTGTCGAAGTTGACCATCTTGCTGATTGAGGATTCAAGGTGGAAAACTCAACAGCTTCACTTCTCTTTGCTTCAACGGCTTCAATTCTTGCTAACATCTCTGGGTCCAAAGCTCCAATTCCAGGTTTGCATCTTGTGTCTAAATTCACTCCAGCCTTCATGCTCTTCTGAAACTGCTTGGGTTGAACACGTCGGGGGTCTTGATCATCTTGTGCAACTCGACATCTCCCTTCTCTCTTCTCTTTTCTCTTTCTGCTTGTGCTTGTTCTCGTGCTTCTTG